TCGTCTTGAGATTCTGCAGCAAGGGTGGAAAAAAATCAAAATGTGCATGTGTCAAGAGAGAGTCAAACCTGCAACCTCTCTCATACAAGCCTGCTTCCCAAGCAACTAACCTAATTAGAACCGGATCTACCCATTAGACAGGGTGGATTGACCAACTCAGCTATGACCCATGTCGCCCCATACATACCCCCAAGTCCCCCTATCCCCTTATAGTAGTTATGGGCCCGTAAAATTAGGCATAACAAGTTGAAAACGTCCAATAGATTAATCGTCTCTCCACAATACACGTACGCCACAAACAATATGATTGAGACAATTATGCGATTGAACTATAAATACGATATGTGTTGTGTTCGATTGCTCTTATCGAGTGAACAACTCCGTGCTCCGTCCCATGTATATTTTGAAGCTGTGTCCGCCACTGAATCTAATGCGTTGTTTTGATCTATATATATATAAATTTAGTTTACATTGCAACTATAATGTTGCTATAATGTAATTATATTTTAAGTATACTATAATTATATTTAAAGACTTTAAGAAAAATCTATGATATTTTTTTAGGTAGTCCCAAAATAAAAAGGAAATGAAAAAAAAGGAGGAAAACAGAAGGCGCTCACTGAAAACTTGTAGCGTGGATGCACATGCACCATGTGAACTGCTCCTTTTACTATTGTCTCTGTTTCAATTTCTTAGAGGTTCAGCCCTCATGACGATGCTTGCAAGCTTATTTGATCAATAATCACAGATCTCAACCGCCTGGCACTTTTGACAGAGCCAAGCAGTGAAGCAGCTGGAGTTAGTATACTCTAGTCTAGTCCTGACGAGCTCGTTTTCCACGACCACCAACTTGCCTGTATAATCTGCTTATGTAGATCGAGGAGGATTAAGAAAGTGGCGAGATGGTAAATTAATGTTCCAAAGGGAGAACATAATAAGGAACGTAATGCTTTGAATGGTAATGAATAGATATATACTTTATCTTGTTACGAAAACATTTTATTTTAGGCATAACAGGCATTTTTTTTTTCAAAACATTGTACTTTTATCGCTAATTTATAGTTAATATATTTGTAGAACATTGGTACAGTTATCATATTATGATGAACAATATCTTAAAAGTTTGACTTATTCATGTCCAAACGATATGTTTTCGTTGAGGGAAAACCTTATTTTCCTTATGCATGGACGATTTGAAGTGTAAATCTTAGTTTAGCTCCTCACATGTGGAACTGTACAAGTGTGCTTGTCAACTCCCGGTTCGTTGTACACTAACATGGAGTTAATATTAAGCAAATATCTCCTGCTTTGATTGGATTTGCTGGCAACATCAGAACAGCCTCTACTGTGTTAGAACTCCAAAAAAGAGAAAAAAAATAAAGGAATAAAATACATTTTGCACCCAGTGGACGACTATACTAATAAGGCAACTTATTAAGTGTAAATGTGTTGACCCGCCGACTCACTTAGAGCAAGTTTAATAATATAGCTCACTACTGCCTCCAATTTATTTATAGCCAATCTAATAGCCAATTCATATAATAGTTGCTTACTATATTATTAATATATGGTCCCACCTGTCATACACACGCTGCGTCTTGGAGTCTGTGCTGCAGCTGGCTACAGATCTGTAGCCCGCTGCTCTTCTATCTCATCTTTTATCTNATTAAAATATGTTTATAGCTGGCTAATAGTTCGCTATTGTACTTGCTCTTATAAGTTATAGACCAAATAAGTGGGTAAAATTANCTTATAAGAGCAGGTACAATAGCAGGCTATAAGCCAACTATAAACATATTTTAAAGAGATAAAGGAATAGAGAGAAGAGCAGCGGACTACAGATTTG